TGTTTTAATATTTGCAGAAGACACGTGGGAAAAAGCATTTGAATTAGCTCAAAATGGTCTTAATAATGTCTCAAATTGGCTTCGAAACAATTTACTTTCACTGAATACCGACAAAACAAATTATATATGTTTTTCTATAACCAATATAAATAAAATTTCGGATTTGCTATCAATCAAGGCTCACCAATGTTTGCAAGACAATATAGATAAATGCAACTGTAATACTTTAAATCGAGTAAGTGAGTTTAAGTACTTGGGTATTCTAATAGATCAAAACTTGACTTTTAAAAATCATATTTTTTCATTAAGTAGAAAAATTAACAAATTAATTTATATATTTAAAATTTTAAGACATACAGTTCCACCTAAAATTCTTAGACAAACGTACGTGGCTTTCTGTGAATCATTAATATCGTACTGTGTTATAGTGTGGGGTCTAGCTTGTAAAACTATAATGAAACCTATTGAAGTTGCCCAACGCGCTGTTTTGAAAATAAGTACTTTTCGTCCTTTCTTCTTCCCCACCTATACTCTCTATCAAGACTGTAATGTCTTGACTGTAAGGCAGCTAGCTATACTTGCAATAGTCCTCAAACAACATAAAGAACTTCATTATGATCCAACAATTTGTAACAAACGGAGACAACATAAAGTTTGTAATCAAATACGCCTCTTTCGAACAAATTTTGCACAAAGATCTTATGCTTTCTATGGCCCTTATCTATATAATTATATAAACAAAGTAATTAACATCTATAACTTAAACTCAAGCAATTGTAAATTAACTCTTAAAAAATGGCTACTTAACCTAAGTTACGATGAGACTGAAGAACTACTCTGTATAATTGCATAACTACATAGTTGTTTGTGTAATATTAATTGCATTGAGGTAGATTATCCATATGTAAAATTTTAAATGTTTTGCATGTCATAGATATACGTATATTCTTTTAAACTATTTTTAAGTGGTATCTTTAGTGATTTCCTGTTTTATTTATTTTTCTTCTCTGTTCCTGGAAATAATGCTTACAGTTAATAATATTTATGACTCTAATGTTAATGAGTCAAAACTATGTCTATTTCCTTATATATACTGAATCGACATCTTTTTGTGGGAAACTGATGACCTGATATACAAGCATTTTTATGCTTAGTTTAGGCGTCAGTCTCTCACAAAGTTCTACATAGCTAATTAAATAAATACCTTAAGGTTATTATACAATAAGTGTTTAAAATGTATTTGTAAACGGAGGAGAGTTAAATAAATGAATAAATGAATAAAATGAATAATGGCCGTGTCGAATTTTGGCTAGGCTGCAAGGCAGGTAGATAGGTAATACGAGTCAAATTTCATCCTAACCAGCTTAGCCATTTTAGCGTGAAAGAGTAAAAAACATTATTTTGCGTTTATGATATTCATGGGAAGAGGAATTAGTGTTACTCGTATGTATATATATATGTATATATATATATATATACTAGCTGACCCAGCGAACTTCGTATCGCTATAAAAATAGGGGATTGATGGTAGAAGGGTGAAAATTTAGGGTTTTTTAAATGCCAAACAATAAAAAAAAAAGTCCCAAAAAATAAAATAAAATATGTTAAGGGTAGACAACCCTTAACACTTAGGGGTATGAAAAATAGAGAGTAGTCGATTCTCAGATCTACTGAATATGCATATAAAATTTCATAAAAATCGGTCAGGCCGTTTCGGAGGAGTGTGGCAACTAACATTGTGACACGAGAATTTGATAAATAAGATAATGCCCACACATACAGAAGAGCGCAGTTAAATGAAGTTATGTTTCTGTCGGTAAGTAAGGTTCTAGGGCTCTAAAGGGTAGGTTAGGATTGGGTCAGGGTAGGCAACGGTGCCAGTGATATTTTTGAAGTGAAACTTCTTTACGCACGCATGACTTGGGTGGTAAACTGGCGAATGCGTTACGCGTTACGAAAAGTGTGTTCGGGCGAGACTAACAGGAGTTGAGTGGGGGATATAGGCAAGAGAAAGCAGTGCGCGTGCACTTTTTCTTTCTCTCTTCCTCTTATAGCAAGTAAATGAAATATGTATATGTACATATATTTATACATACGGATGGAGCTAAAGTAGTTTCACTTCAGTCATGTGGTCGTAAGCACACTCAGTTTTTTTTGTATCGCAAATGTCTAAGGCTTAATGGCCCCATTATGCTTGTCAGACAGTTATTTGCCACCCTTTAAACAATAAAAATTACCGTTTATTAAAAGATCTAAATTACTCTATTAGCTTTTTAGACTATACAAAGACGCTTCGTCTTTATATAAAGACACTATGGTAAATCGGGTGAATATGTACAAATAAATGAAACGTCCGACTTACAGATAATCCCGACCGTCAATATAATCCTATATATACAAATTACCAAATAGAAGGCGAATTTCGGGCACAAGATACAAATTTAAAGCACAGCACTAGAAGAAGACAGTCAGAAAAACGTTTAAAGAAACGAAAAGCACTATTATATAAAGTGTGAGAATATATAGGTGAGGTTACTAAGGCCCGTATTACAGAATGACAACTAAGTGTCGATCTTTACTTGAGCACAGTTAGAAAGGGATGGCGCTATGTGCTATACAGAGCGACATCCGTTTCTAACTACTCAAGTAAAGATCAACACTTAGTTGTCATTCTGTAATACGGGCCTAAGAGGAGCTCGACGGAGCAAGTGGTTACCGCGTTCGGCTGCGATCTTTGAAGTTAAGCAACTTTCACAGAGGTTGGTCATTGGATGGGTGACCAAAAAATCTATTATCTCGAGCTTCTCCGTACTACCGAAGGCACGTTAAGCCCTTGGCCCCGGCTGCATCTGCAGTCGTTAGCACCCACCAATCCACACTGGGCCCGTGTGGTCAGTCACGGCCTAATCTCCCTATTCCATCCATAAGGAAGGCCTGTGCCCCAGCAGTGGGGGCATTAATAGGCTGGTGATGAGGTGAGCAAATAGAAGAGTGAGTTCCGCGTCGTAGTTCGCATCTCTAGTATTTAATCCGTCAGTTAGATGATCAAAAAATAATGGTCACGTATTTTTTCTTTGGGCAATCAACCAAAAAATGACAAGGTTATAGTGCGACAAAGTTTGGAAGTATGGGCTCGTGACGTCACTTTTAAGTGAAAATTGTAATAAAACGTGACGTCATGCGTCTTTTCAAATCAATATATCTCTGCAATGTTTATATTATGTGAAAAAAGGAAAAATAAGTGTCTAATACTTTTTGATAATCTACCTGATAAACGAAGAAAAAAAAATTAGTCATCATCCCTAATATATTTGTTTTTTATGTTTTCACGCACACCACTCATAAAATAAAACAAGTTTCAACAGTATAGATGCACTGATTTATTCATTTATTGACGTTTCGAATCCTTTTCAGGCTACGTCGTCACAATTATGATTTTATTTACTTGGTCGAGCTACCTTGGAATGACTTTTTTTGAGCGTTTGGCTATATTTCATTGGAAGATTTTTAAAACTTTACTGTCTATGTATGAATTTATTAGCTAACTTATTTAATAAAATAATTTATTTAATTCTTCTTATAATTTTGAGTTTATTAATTTGACCCTAACTACCGTAACTGAGCTATATTTCATTAGAAGATTTTTAAAACTTTACTGTCTATGTATGAATTTATTAGCTAATTTAATTAATAAAATACTTTATTTAATGCTTTTTATAATTTTGAGTTTATTTATTTGACCCTAACTACCATAAACTATTACCAATTCCTATATTAGGAGACCTTTCTGATAAGAACTGGTGAAACAAACTCAGAGAGGCTTTCTTTCTCCTTCTCATGATAAATAATGCAAACAAAAAGAACTAACAATATGTTGGTCTTGGTTGTTATAGCCCATATACGGGTAGTATAGAATACCATTGGAAGTCGTATTCGGGCTAACGAGCAAGTGTAATCGCGTCATTATATACAAGACTATCCGCTAGTGCGTTGGAAGTGTTAATGATTGCCATCGATCCATCGACATAGCAATACACATGATACGTAATGAAAAATATAATTCTAGTACTTATTATAAATTCATAATTAGACATTAATAGAGGAGCAGGCGCAGGTGGTTAGCGCGTTCGGTTGCGAGCGTTGAAGTTAAGCAACTTTCACAGGGTCCAGTCATTCGATGGGTGCCCAAAAATTAACTATCTCGAACTCCTCTGTGCTTCGAAAGGCACGTTAAGCGGTTAGTCCCGGCTGCATCTGCGGTCGTTAGCACCCACCAATCCGCATTGGGCCCGCGTGGTGGGTCATGGCCCAATCTTCCTATTCCACCCATAGAGAAGGCCTGTGCCCCAGCAGTGGGGACATTATTAGGCTGATGATGATGATGATGATGATAAGATGTAATGATGGTGCCCACTTTGAGAAAGGGTGGTCTAGTGTCTATGGTGGCTGATTACCATCAATGGGTCATATGCTAGTTTGACACATTTTTAACATAAAAAAGTAACATTGGCCACATAACTTCACAATCAATTCATGAAATATGTAGAGGTTATTTCGAACCACACTAATATTATAAAGGTGAAAGTTTGCGAGTGTGTATGTTTTACTTCTTCACCGTTAAACGGCTCGAGCGATTTTAATAAAATTTGGTATGGAGTTAGCTGACACCCTGACTGGATTAACACCATAGGCTACGTTTAATTGCGGGAAAATATCCCTCATAAACCGCGGGGCACAGTTAGTATTTCATAATCCTTTTATCTGATGGATGAAATTAGATACGTAGAGGTATCTAATTTCATCCATCAGACTTTATGTGATGATATGGCCAAAAACAATATTAATAATAATAAAATAATAAGCCTAGGTAGTTTGTTTTAGCTGATGATATCATGAAAGAATACCATTACATAAAATAATCAGGCAAATAATGAAGTGGTCCATTCTAAGATATAGCCTAAGGTTGTAACAGAGCTTACTAGAATGAAATTGAAACATACCTCGGGCCAGGCATTGGTTTTTCGTCCTTCTTTAATTTATCGATTATTTCTTTTGTATCTTCTACTGTCAAGTCTTCCTGAAAACCAAAATAATTCTCATATACATATTAAAGATATACAAAAAAAAAACTGACAATAATTATTCTGAAAAACACAGAGCCGAAGGGAAGATAAAAAGCAAAAATCTACAAGTAAACAGTTATAATAATACTTAATATTTCTAACACTCCCACCAATTAGCCTAGCCCCAAAGTAAGCATTGAAACGATTGTGTTATGAGTTGGGATACTAGGGTAACGATAGAATAAATATAATAATACTAGTATCATTTATCTAGAAATATTATTACAAATGCTCGTTTCATCATACTAACATTTGCCACACTGGGATTCAAACTCAGGAAAGACACCTTGAAATTTGCTAACTTGGCCCCCGAGTTAATTGTTGGTAGTATTACAACATTATTTATACTATATATATTTTGTAACTCTGCTGTCTGCAATATCTTGCTTTAATACTCACATAATAGTCGTCATTCACTTGTATCATTGGTGCATTAACACAAGCACCTAGGCACTCCACCTGAAAATGAGCAGGATTTTGCATTTTATTTATTAATATCACTTAGATTACAACCATAGTAAACATGTAAATCTGTTTTATTATCTGTTAGGGTAATTAACAGAATACTACGGTGTTTGTCATGAGTCTCCAATATTTCAGCAGTAGCATATGATACAATGAGGGCTACCGTTTTCTGCCTCACCAGATGGCGCCATTGTTGAGTGAGGTCCTAAATTGTAACTTTTAAAAGTTTATTAATACGCACATGAAATCAAAGGTTACATTTAGATCATATTTTAACACAAAAGAACCATATCCTAAACATAATAGGCCATGCCACAGTGACGCGCTGTTCCGTTTTATTCAGAAAAAATGGGAACATAATCATTTTTCTAAGCTCAAATTTTTAATAACTGACATTCATTGCCACATAACTCATATTTGCCATAATTAAGCCGAATTGTTACCAATTATTCACAACATTATTTTAATTAGAAATAAACCCGCGTAGTCAACCAACAAGCAATAACATTTGACATTTCGGAGACCTCACGCTACACTAGCGCCTCTAGCGGCGGATTAATACGCGATAGCCCTCATTACAAGCGGAGTATGTGTATAATAATAATAATTTATTGAAAGATTTAAATACAATTTTTATTTTCACTGTTTTAACTGTTACTTTTTGTAATCTAAAGAATATTTAATCCTAAAGAAAAATTTAAAGAATTTAATTCTAGAGAATAATTTTCTAGTAGAAATTTTCTTTATTGTGTGGTGTTTAAATATTAACCTCTTTATTACAAAGAGTTGACTAAAGTTAACCCCAGTCTAAAAAATATGCTGTCACCTTTGTTGGCCAAAAAGAAGACTTGCCTTAAACCTAATATTTTCTATATTAGGTATAAATTTCAGTTTTCAATTGGTTGAAAAAAACAGGCATTGCTTCTTTAATACAATTAATCCGAATTTAGAACAGAACTTACCTCAGAAATAGAGAATTTTCCACATGGACTATTTCCTCCAACTTCACAGCCTGTGGCCTCTTTGATTGCATTCAGCACCACATCTGATCCCCTCAACCAACAAGGAGTAGTTGTGCAGACTTGAACATGGTATTTACCAATTGGTCGTCTAGAAATTTTAAAAATACAGTTATTATTTTTAGCTACACAAAAACAAGTGAAATGTCTGCCCTTGCATAAAAGAGACAAATGCTCAAACATAATTGTGCTTATTTTATTGAGGTCTTTCCAGTTCAGCAAAAATTATTTAAATTTTGAATATAATGAGGACATTACATTAAAAATATTAAATCTTTGGCTAATAGATTTAAAATAACAAGACTTTAAGTTAAAAAAGTATCTACAGAAAGCTTTACTGAGCCTTCAAGTGATAACATGAACATTCATACGATTGAGGTCACAGTTCAGGGGCCCAAGCATGTATTTTGACAGCGCCGTGATCATATAGCAATGTCAAAGTTTCTATGACAGCAGGGTCCCTGGCATATGTAAGAACAAACTGGCTCCTTTCATACATTTTTTATGATAATGATATGGTTAAGGTACTTTCAAAATTCGTTCTTGTACCTTCTGAGGTACAAGAAGAGCTCTGGCTCTAATTATTAATTTTGTTACATTTACAATCCTTTAATGAATATTTGTACAAAGAATGCTCAAAACTCACCTAATGAACATAGTGTAGAATGTAGCTACCTCATAAACCCTCATGCGTGGAAGGTTGAGGACTTCAGCTACTTTGTGCATTGCAGAGATTGGCAGCCAACCTCCATTCTGGCGCTGTGCTAAGTCCAGAAGAGGAATCATAGCACCTCTCTTGTGGCCTTCAGGGTATATAGCAAGGAGGGCATCAACACGCTGAAGATAGTTAAATTAGTTAAGTTAGTCACTGCATTACACTGCTAGTTACACAAATATTACTTCAATACCTGAAACTTTATACTTCACATTCTATATTTCTAACACAAGTTAATATCATAATTTTTCTAAAATTACAATAAATAATCTCTGCCAGTATTTTTGAGACATTGCTAAGTATTTTTGGACCTGAAGACAAAATCATTTTTAAGCAGTTTCGATATTGAATAAATGGGAGATTTAGAGGCATTTAACTTTCAGCTCGAACACGAGAAAAATTTAAAAATCCTAACCAAAACAAATGACTGTCATCACTGACCTTCTGGTTTGCGGGGCTAAACTCGAAAGGTATGCTAGAGTTATCCTCGAGTGTATCTCTGTGCACGAATAGGCTGTCATGTTGCAGCGTTGAGGTGGTTTGCAATGCCCTAGACGGCACACGCCACTAAAAACAATAACAAGTTTGTAGAACTAAAGTGCACAACTGTCAAATTATGTAAGAGTTATGATTAAATATTAAGAATAAATGAAAATTTGTTTGTCACACGCACCAAGAACTGAACTCCAGATCGGAGGCTGGATAACATGGTTTGACTAGGTATTATATTAAACCTTGCTATTTCACTTGGAAAACTATTGTGAAACACTGCTCGCACGGTATGGAATCTTCATAGTAAAAAAAAACCGGCCAAGTGCGAGTCGCCCATGAAGTTTATGCGTAATATTTAAGTTTCTGATTTTATTTTATTTTTATATTTGAGTTCATTGAATAATGAACTCAAATAGAACTCAAAAAGAAAGGTAATGTAAATCATATATATTTTTTTTAGTTTTAGCATTCTTATATAATAGAAGTTACAGGGACACACATTTTACCACTTTCGAAGTGTCTCTCGGGCAAACTATATTCAGTTTATAAAAAAATTATATTAGAAACCTCAGTTTCAGAGTATTCAGATGAGGCAAACGGCAGTTGAGTGGGGAATTTAAGCAAGAGAAAGCAGTACGCGGGCACATTTTCTTTCTCTCTTTCTCTTATAGCTAGTAAATGAAATATGTATATGTGCATACATGTATATATTGTACACACACATGTGACGGTAACACACACACACACACACACACACACACACACACACATATATATATATATATATAATACAAACAATATACATAGATGGAGCTAAAGAAGTTTCACTTCAGTCGTGTGGTCATAGACACGTTTTTGTCTATTTTTGGTGTGAAAATTTTAATGCGGTTTACAGAATACATCTACTTACCAATAATATATATTTTTTTATAGTTCTGGATAACAGTGGCTGTGACATACGGACGGACAGACAGACAGACATGAGGAATCCATAAGGGTTTTCCGTTTTTTGCCATTTAGCTACGGAACCCTAAAAATTAAACCAGAGTTTTTTTTGGTCTGTTCATTAAACGGAAAAGGCAAAGACTACAAAATGCACCATACAGCCAAGACTAAAAAGTAATATTCTTCAAGTCTTCCTTTCTTTTTTCTTGGCTTTGTACGACTTGTGCGTTTAGCCACAGACAATAACAAAAAATTGGAGAACGGAAGGATATGAAAGCAAAAGGATACGGAATACAAAAGAAAATGAATCAAGGAAGTAGGAAGAATGTAATTTACATAGAATATACATAGTATACAACATTTACAAATAATTAAATCTAAATAGTTATAAAAATATGTGTAAATAATGTTAAGGCATGGTCACGGTAATATTATCTATATTATCCGTGGCAAGGTTATGTTCAAATGTAAATACAGAAAATATGTAAAGAGCCCTTTTACAAAATTGCGCCTCTGCAGTTTAGGTAAATACAGCCACGAGTCTGTGAATCAGGAGTGCACTCTGGCCGTACCCTTCGACTACACTGTTTATTTCTCGCGCCCTAAGGGTACGGCCAGAGTGCACTCAGATTCAGATTCCGAAAACAAGCGCGAGAAAATGCAGGCAACCTGCTTAGACTACACTGTTTATTTCTCGCGCTTGTTTTCGAAATCTGAATCTGAATCTGAGTGCACTCTGGCCGCACCCTAACACTACAATTATCCAATCACCAAATATCCTACCTACCCAATCACATCAAATGAAGCTCGCAAGTCGCAACATTAGCCCGTAGCCGTCGTCGTAGAAGGCAAATGGCAACATTAGCCGTCATGCCATATTGCCATAATAAAATAAGAATAAGAAGAATTGTAAGTAAACATCTGCTGAAAGCACAAACCGTGCATGCCATAAAAAAGAAAGAAGAAGAAGTAAACATCTGAATACTTTGGATTTGGACACACACACCAGATATTGGAGCCAAGCCATCACCTCTGAAGAAATCTAATCTAAATATGCCAGATAAATGTGCAGTTCCATTATGTTCTTATATTGTAGGAGGAGGGCATTATTTTCCGAAAGACAGCAACGTATTGGAACAGTGGCTTAAGGCGATTCGGAGGGAAAACTTTTATCCCTCAAACTACTCGCGTATTTGTAGAAAACATTTTCAGCCTAAAGATTACATGATTCCGATGAATCGTAAGTAACAATCGTGCTCATTTTTAATTAAAAAAATGGTATCTGAGTATGAAGCTCTTTATTTGGTGTAGCTGTAATTTTGATTGAATATTTTTAGTTTGCCCTAGGCTAAAACAAGGAGCGGTGCCTAGTCGATTCCCGTGGGACAAAGATTGGGTAGAAAATGAGGCAACCAGAAGAAAGCGCGAGATGAGGATTTATCAGCGACAAAAGAAACAAGAGTTTTCTCTAGAAAATAAGTTGCAAAAAAATAAAAGAATCGTAAGTCTCCACTTTCATCACTATAAATAATTGTTTCATATACTCACATCATTAGCCTAGCCCCGAAGTTAGTTCTGTATTATTTTTCTTTCATTTCTTGCTTTTTTAATTTAAGTTTTGACTCCATAAACCAGGAGTACCTGCTATTTGAGGAGTTTTGGCACAGAGATTAACTTGATAAAAGAAAAGTTAGGTTTTTCTTAAGGGATCCTTTCCATAATATGTAGGTGATGATACACTATATATTTTCCATTCTTTGGTGCTATCTATATAATAAATAAGATCTCTAATTCTTTTCTAGTACTGGATTGAAATGAAACCCAAAACCAAAATGAAAGCAGGAGTCGGTCATGAGAATACTTTACGGATAGGTGGTGGGCCCAATAAACTCGTATCTTCAAGCAAACTTGACCAAAGATTGCAAAGTATTATTGGAAAAGCTTTAAAAGGATTGCATACAGTGGGCGTAACTTTTCCAGTGAGTAACTGTTTCTATTATTATCAAATAGGTAATCATATTATTATTATGATTACTAATTTCAAATGAAACACTAAAATAAATTTAATGATTTTTTTATTATATTTTTCCAGATCAAGGATACTACTCCATCTTCATCTTTGAAAGTATCAGATAGGACTAGTCTATCTAATCCTTCCACCTGCACACAACCGATGGAGGAAGAGGGGCTCGATGACACAATATATGATGAAACTAGGCCTCAGATACCACTGGCTGCAGATATACAGACAATATCTGTCCTATGCCCATCTAATCCTTCTGCCTTCTGCACACAAACCAGAAATCCAATTGAATCATTTTTAGAAAATAAAATCAAGGGAGAGTGTGTTAACGATACACTACAAAATGCAATTCTTCCTCAAACACTACCTGTTCCAGCACAGTCAACATGTATCTTTACCCCATCTGCTTCGATAAGAACACAACCCAGAAATCCAATTGGATCATTTTTAGAAGTAAATATCAAGGAAGAGTGGCGTGATGATGCACTAAATAATGCTCCTCTCCTTCAGACACCTGTTTCAGCACAGTCAACATTTATCCAACACCCATCTTGTACCTCCTCAAGCACACAACCCAGCAATCCAATTGAAATATTACCAGAAGAAAAAATTAAAGAAGAGCATCAGAACTTCTCTATACAGAATGCACCCCTTCCTCAGAACAAAGAATGTTATGTAGACAAAAACATACCCACTCTAGTACAGCCCACTATTTCTGTTGATTTGGAAATGAGGAAAAGTAAGTGAATAAAACTTATTTAGCCACTTTACAAACCTTAAATACCATGAAATCGGTATTTATTTATATTGTTGTTTTAACTTAAACCATAACTTTTGGAAAAATAACATCCAAAATAAATTTACTACAATAAACTATTATGTAACAAACAGGTAATCAGTACCAATATACAGTTAAGACATTTACTTTTATAATGGCCGGTTATAGGATGAATGAACAAAAATTATTATCTTGAGCCTTCTTGCTTCAAACACGTTAAATTGTTGGTCCTTATCGTTGCTGAATCCACAGTTGTTAGCACCCACCAATCCACACTGGGCCAAGATGGTGGATAGAAGCAGATTCTACCTATACCATGCATTGAGAAAACATGCTACTGTGTCCCGGGTTCGAACCCCAGTGGGCGGAGATGTTTGTGTAATGAATACGAGCATTTGTACTCAAATCATGGATGTTTAATAATGTACTTCTATATAAATATACTTTTATGTGTATCAGTATATGTATTCTATCCGTTACTCTAGCATCCCATAAGACAAGCCTACACTGCTTACTATGGGCGTTTGGTGTGAGTGTTAAAAGAAATCAGACTTGTATTGTTGTTTCGTAGGTCAAAATCTGGAAGATGGTATACCAAAATGGGCACGACAATTGGAGGACAGGCGTATAGCTGCTGAAAAGCGTATAAACCTGCGAATAAATTCTTTAGCTGAAAAAGTCGAAAAGATTACCAATATTTTAGAAGAAATAGCTAAGAACACAAGACGGGATCGATGATATATTATTTAAGTACTTCAGTTCTTTAGAAAACTATCTTTGGTTCTTTTTCTATGTTAGAACAGTGTTGAGTAGCGGCGCTTAATGGCAAATACCTACAAACTTGAGCAATTGCCTAAAATCTCAGTAATTATGATAATTTCTAACTTTTCTGTAGTAGTTACTAACAGCTTAAAAAGCAATATGTGGCAATATTCATTTATTTCGATTTTTTTATTATATCCACAAACCACGTTAAATTATACAAAAATAAAATATTAACATTTTTATAAGATTTTTACTCTCTCATAATCCTATTATATAATAATCGTATTGAAATACCTAAGTAGCTTTTGGCAGTACTGAGCCGTGCGGTGATAACAACGATATTAAATACCCTAGATACACCAACACGAACAAAATCATGCCCGAAACCTGTCCACAAGGTACACTGGACGATCCACGGAGCTCCGTAAGATGATCGCGTAGTCTAAACAATATAAGGCATTATCTAAACATTGAAAATCACCTTTAAAGCATACTGCATAAGGTCTTCATTTAAACGCACGCGTCATAGAGTTATGAGAGTCCGATATGTAAGCTCGTAAAATTTTACGACTTATTGCTATATGCAAAAGAATAAAGACCATATTTCTTTGACTGTACGCGCAATTCTGAATGCGCTATTAGTAATTTAGCAGGTACGGTCCGATTTCCGATCCAGAGACGGCTATATTATCGACCCTGCATTTGAATATCACAAATATTTTCTAATAAATCAGTTTATAGTAAGTATTAAAACAAAATTTACTTCAAATGCGTTATTTAACAAACATTGATTAGATACCTGTCGAAAAAACGACATTTAACATTCTTTATGTATTTCATTCGCCTGTTTTCACGGAGCTCAACGGCATGTTGACTTTTCAACGGTCCGCGCGTGACTGTGAATCAAGAAGGTGCTTGAGTCGTGTTCAAGCACTTCTTGATTGGGACACATTTTGAGCGCACGTGGTGTATCTAGGGTATTTAATATCGTTGGGTGCTAACAATTAGTTTGTGATTTTCGCTTTGTTATTGGCAACTACGCAAGCCTATATTGCACGTGGCTCGACACTTATTCGTTTTCTAAAATCTTTTAATTGTCAAACGAGCACATGGCTCGTCAGCCCAAGAATTTAGACAACTTCAGAGCTGTTGGCCCAGGCCCCCAACACAATTTTTCTGTGTAATGTACCGCATCGTCAAAGTTTCTGTGAAAACTAAGCAGCGCCTCTACCGGACGTAGGAACAAATTGACTCATTCCATACAAATGTTGCAAATCGTAAGTGCGGCCGGGCGCAACAATATTAAATACCCTAGATCAGTGGCGGATTTACCAGTAGACTCAGTAGGCTGGAGCCTAGGGCGGCAGATTTAAGGGGGTGGCAAATTTGGTCCAAAATCTACACAGAAAAACGTGTGAGAAAAATTTTAATATTTTAGTAATGCACAGTATACTCAACACTCTTATGTCCGTAATCCGTATATAAAAGATTACTAAACGCACTGTAAAATATAGGTATGTACTTATGCGATCATGAATTTTTAAAATATTCCATTAGCGTTTCAATATTAATTACAATTAAAATTTAGTAATTTTTTAAACTAACGGGGAAAAGCCGACGTAATGTGGACGATAGAACACAAATCATAAAGTTGCAATTTCAGAATAAATATAATTGTGACCTAGCGTATTGAATTTCAAAGGTCAGTAAGGGAGGCAAAAATATAATAGCCTATTAGCGGCAAATTTGTAAATCCGCCACTGCCCTAGATACACCAATAGGAACAAAATCGTGCCCGAAAGCTGTCCAAAAGGTACATTGGACTATCCAAGGAGCTCCTTAAGATGATCGCGTAGTCAAAAACAATATAAGGCATTATTTAAACATTGAAAGTCACCTTTAATTCATACTGTGTAAGGTCTTAATTAAAACGTATGCGTCAAAGAGTTCGAAATGCAAGCTCGTATTTTATGACATTGCTATATACGGAAGAATACAGACCTTATTTCTTTGACTCTACGCGCAATTCTGAATGCGTTGTTAGCAATATAGTAGGTACGGACTGCGAGAAAAGAGATGGCTATATTACTGACCATGCATTTGAATTAAACTTGCAACGAATATTCGGTTACTATTCGGTATTCGGCCTATTCGGCTGTTTTTATTATATTCGGCCGAATACCGAATATCTACACATTAATCGGCCGAATACCGAATACTTAAATATATATTTTGTCATGGAGAAACAATTGGTAAAATGAAAAAAATTAAATCGGTTGATTACGTATATATTCATATTTTCATTTAAGTAGTCATTGGTACATAACACATGTACATAATCATCTTCTGAATTGGAAAAATGGAGGATTCTATGTATTTGAATTATTGTGGTAATCAAAATTTAGAAGGGTAATGTCCTCATTTCTTTTATAATCATTTAAAAGTAGTCATTGGTACATAAAACAGGTACATAATTTAATCATTTTCTGTATTAAACAAGTTAACAGTTTTTAATTTATTCAATCATGTGAGGAATGGTTACATAATAGCAATAATTTAAAGTTTACGCGCCGTTTTTGGCCATCTTAATAGATAGTTTTATCATTTAGCCGCATTATAGCTTGAGGACGGCAGATTAGAACAAAACAAAGGAGCGCGAAACAATCACGTCTGTACAAGATTTTGGCGCTAAAATCCAGCCGAATACTTTTGCCTAATTTTCGGCTATTCGGTCAGGGTTCTCGCCGAATATTCGGTATTCGGTATACTGCCGAATATACTATTCGTTGCAAGTATAATTTGAATATTACAAATATTTTATATTAAATCAGGTTAAAACAAGTATTAGAACAAAATTTGCTTTCATTGATTCGACACTACTTTTTTCACGGCATCTTGACTTTTCAACGGTCCGCGCCAGACTGCACCAAGAAGTGCTTGTATTTAGGGTATTTAATATCGTTGCCCGGCCGGCCCAGATTCAGGGGCCTCTGAATCTGGCCCATTGGCTGGGGCACCTTAGTTTCCCCAGGGCCCGACAGCTCTAAATCGGTCTCGTGATCACTAACTCTGACGCAGACGAAGTAAGTACCAAGAAGAAGTAAAGACAGGTAGGACATAGCGGATTTACCGCTTGAATTCGAGCGCCCGTCTAAGGAAGTAACCTCCACTTTGACCGACTTGACGACCTTCGTGGTGGAGTAGTTTATACGCCGGGTTTCATAGTGTCGCCGACTCGAGAGGTCCCGGGTTCGAATCCCGGTGGGGCAGATGTTTGTGTGATGAATACGAGCATTTGTACTCCAGTCATGCATGTTGTTAATATGTATTTCTATATAGATACTTATACTTATCTTATGTAGGTACAATATATGTATTCTATCCGTTACCCTAGTATCTTATAACGCAAACCTACTGCTTACTTTGGGGATGGGCTAATTGGTGTGAGTGTTGGAAATATTTATTATTTATTTATTACTTTGCAAAAAACCAAAGTAAAGTAACACTACCTTTTGGTGGTGTTGTGTTTTTGTCGAGAAGCTCGATGGCGCAAGTGGTTAGCGCGTTCGGCTGCGATCGTTGAAGTTAAGCAACTTTCGCAGTGGTCGGTCATTGGATGGGTGACCAAAAATTTACTATCTCGAGTTCCTCCGTGCTTCGGAAGGCACGTTAAGGGATTGGGTCAGGACAGACAACGGCCCGAGTGATATTTTAGTATCGCAAGTGTCAAAGGCTATGGTGACTTTATCATCAGGCCATATGCTTGTTGGCACACTTTTATTATAAAAAAACGAGTGTGGTTATGACCACACGACTGAAGTGAAACTTCTATAGCTCCATCTGTATGTATATATATATACATACTAGCTGACCTAGCGAACTTCATAAAATTAGTTATGGCGGTACGAAGTTCGCTAGGTTGGAGGCAGAAGGGTGAAAATTCAGGATTGTATGTAGTTTTGAATGCCACATTATTCAAAATAAAACATAAATGTTAGGGGTAGACAACCCTTATCACTTAGTGGTATGAAAAATAGATAGTTAGTAGCCGATTCTCAGGTCTACTAAATATGTATATAAAATTTAATAAAAACGGTCAAGCCGTTTCGGAGGAGTAAGGTAACTAACATTGTGACACGAGAATTTTATATTTATAAGATTTATATATATATATATATATATGTGTACAATATATACATGTATGTACATAAGTATACATATTTCATTTACTTGCTATAAGAGAAAGAGAAAAAAATGAGCGCGCCCACTGCTTTCTCTTCTCTTGCTTATATCCCCCACTCAACTCCCGTTCGCCTCGCCCGAACACACTTTTCGTAACGCGTAACGCATTCTCCAGCTTACCTCCCAAGTCACGCGTGCGTAAAGAAGTTTCACTTCAAAAAGAAGTGGGTAGCTCGATAGCGCAGTGGTTAACGCGTTACCTCTTCGATCACGGAAGTTAGGCAACTTTCTCAATGTCCGCTAACGGGATGGATGACCAAAAATTAATTATTCTCGAGCTCCTCAATGTTCGGAATGCTCATTAAGCTGTTGGTCCCAAATGTCCAGCAGCTGTTAATCCCACCAGTCATGGAACTCTTGCATGACTGAATTTTCCATTCGATAGGGGTGACTTGGGGTTGTTTTGAGGGGATTAATAAGCTGATGATGATATAAATAATTGATTTATATTAACGTAACAAGTGATCTGTAATGTTTATTACTACTATAATTATTTTGCGCCTGAAGTTTTAGTAGTAGCAATAATGATAATGAGCGTATCACTTAAGTAGTCTAAAGGCGTTTTTATTTTTAATTCTATTCGACTATGTAACCTCGTACTTACAGTTCAACGATGTAATGAGTTTATTAAGATTTAATTTGCTCTTCAAAGTCTCAGTTTAGCAATAAACATTTTCAATATTCCAAAAAGTAAAGCATTCATTTTATTTAAGTAGGTAACGATGCCATTAAAATTTTTCCTTTTCCACCAAAATGCAGCTCGGAACATATAAAAGGCATTGTCTGCTCGCACCATGTGCCTATATTTCCTTCCTAAAAATAGGGAAACGAAAGCAAAATGAATGAATAGACAAAGCACAATCGGCAAAACAACGACGTGGTTGCCATGGCGACTGTAGCACAGTCGAACTCGGCTCTCCCTGCACCAAAAATGTTTGGCTACTTACTTACTTCGGTTATTTGGTGGATTGTGTTTCAGTTTTTTATTAGCCGATGGA